TTTAGTAGGGCAGTTTTCAGTTGAGTGTAGCGAGTGAAAGCCAGACTGTAAAGGGTGAAGAAGGTTGTTGTCGGTGAGGTGGGAGCTCAGGCGATTGTAGACTAAGTGTTCTAGGAGTTTAGAGGTAAATGGCAGCAGGGAGATGGGTCTTAAGTAGTTCAGGTTGGTGTGGGTCTAGGGAGGGCTTTTTAAGTATGGGAGTGATGTGTGCATGCTTTAGAGGGGTGGGGAAGGCACCAGTAGAGAGGGAGAGATTGAGGATGTGAGTGAGGGAGCATAGGATGGAAGAAGATGGTGACCATAGTAGTTGTGAGGGGACAGGATCCAGGGGGCAGGTGGTGAGACGGGCTTCTGAGAAAACCTTAGTGACCTCTTCAGGTAGTAGCGAGGTCAGAAGAGGAAAGTGTTGAGGGAGGTTTAGTATAAGGAATGCTAAGTGGGATGGATGTCTGTGCAGAGGAGATGTCCGTGAAGAAAGCAGATTTATATCGGGTGAATGCTTGCTGGGATTTAAACATACATAAAATAGTGAAGCGCTATATAAACCAAATCCTAATCATAAATAAAAATTCATACTTAATTGTGCAAAATGTGTCAACATATTAGTGCTCAGTGGTAAAAATGACCCGCAAACGGGAATAAACTATCCTTAATGTGACACCACTACACAAAGAATATATAGAAATAAATAAAGTTCAAGTGATATAAAGAAATATATATCGAATGCATTAACAATAAATATTTTACAAAACTAATAACCTCTCAATATTAAATGACATAAGAATGTGAATCAATGCAAAAAAACCATCCGTGAATATTCAAAATATAAAGTCCATGCAAGTGAAACTGTCAAATGGTGATCTTCACTCTGGTGAATAAATCCTCAGATGTCAGCAATGCCTTCTCACCTCCACACACTGACCACACAGGGCCAAAGGCTAGTAACCTCCTGTGTACCAGATCCTCATAAATATGCTCCTCATCCAGGGACCACAGGATAAATGGGGACTCCTCCCAAGCGTACCTTATCCACTCCACCTCCCCTCCAGGGCATATAAGTGTGACACAGAAAGATCCTTCCATAGTGCAGTATTGTTTATTGTAAGAATGGATACAAGTTATATTGCATCACGTGTAATTCCCAGACACATCAGCCCGTCACCACATCCTATGGGTGTACTGCATGGTATCTGGGGAAAGCAATATGGCCGCTGCGCTCCGGACATGCATCACCTCGTAACTGAAAATGGCGTACCGACGCGTTGCGTCACGTGTATCGGTACGCCATTTCGGGTTACGAGGTGATGCATGTCCCTGGATGAGGAGCATATTTATGAGGATCTGGTACACAGGAGGTTACTAGCCTTTGGCCCTGTGTGGTCAGTGTGTGTGGAGGGGAGCAGCATTGCTGCATCTGAGGATTTATTCACCAGAGTGAAGATCACCTTTTGACATTTCACCTTTCATGGACATAGACTATGGAGGATCTGGACACATGATTATGGAACATATATTGGAATGTTTTGACAGGAAGATTCACATTCACTATGCATAGGAGAAGGACAGACATGACTATGGAGGAAAAGGACAGACATGACATGACTATGGAGGAAAAGGACAGACATGACTATGGAGGAAGAGGACGGACATGACTATGGAGGAAGAGGACGGACATGACTATGGAGGAAGAGGACAGACATGACTATGGAGGAAGAGGACAGACATGACGGGGGGGTTACTGGGTGTAAATAGAACATAACATCTTATTACCTCCTCTGCTGCCACTTCTAGCAACGTCTCCTCTCTACTTCCTCCTGTCTGACATCACTTCCTGACATCACTTCCTGTACCTGTCCCTGACATCACTTCCTGTCTGTCTTCCATAGAGACTTCCTGTGTGGGTAGAAGTGAGATCCCCACCTTGTGGAGCTCAGAGGAACTGCAGCCCCGAGAAGCGTCTGGTAGTGTGACCCCGGCCTTGTGCTGGGTGTGTATGGACTGTAGATCCTTATAGAGGGGTCACCTCCACTCCCACCAAGGGGGACAGAAATATATGACTGCCTAGTCCAGCCTTTCTCAGCCAGGGTTCCTCCAAAGGTTTCTAGGGGCTCCTTCAGCAATGAACAATTCCTGTCTCTTAGTAACAAATGGCATCAATGATCTGTAAAATCCATTTCTTGGAATACATCACAGGACACGAAGCATCTTTATAAATCCTTCCTAACACTGTTATGCCCACCTACAGGTGATCGGACATTGGCCAACAATAGACAGGACGTCCCCTTGTAGAGCAGATCTCCGACATAGGAAAGGTTTGTAGCAAGCCATAGCCCATAACAGGAGGGGACGGATCTCTGGGATTCCTGAGGGACTCCAAGAAATGGATTTTACAGGTAAACCACAAAATGTCATTTTCTTTGTCGCACATCACAGGACACAGAACATCTTTTACATTCCTTACTAACAGGGATGTCCCACCTAGAACATGAGGGGAGGACAACAAGCCAACAGGTCCCAAAAACAACCAGAAATAGGAAAGAACCTCATGCAGCAGCCTGCAAAAACCAATGTGTCCAAAGGGAAGAGTCCTTAGTGACTCCAACATCCACCTGGTAACATCATAAAGAGTGCACCGAAGACCAGGTAGAGGCTTCACCAACATGATACACTGAAGGTAGGTAGTGTCATCCCTTATAAAGGGGGAACCTGTCCTTTCATACTGGAAACTGGAGCAACAAGCCGACAAATTCAGGGAATAAACATAGACATGGAAGCTGCGGGGATCCTTCTATTCGGTCCTCAGGAGCCACAAAGAGAAATCCTGTTGCCAAAATTGCGGCTGTCAACTACAGGTAACCTGATAGACAAACAAATACCCAACGTGATAAAAACCTATTCCCCCAGTTACTGAGCCTGAGGGCAAAGGGAGGTAATACGCTGTCCGGCTGAGATGAGGGTAAAGGAAGGTAATACGCTGTCCCGGCTGAGATGAGGGTAAAGGGAGGTAATACGCTGTCCCGGCTGAGATGAGGGTAAAGGAAGGTAAGGTATACTGTCCCGGCTGAGATGAGGGTAAAAAAGGTAATACGCTGTCCCGGCTGAGATGAGGGTAAAGGAAGGTAATACGCTGTCCCGGCTGAGATGAGGGTAAAGGAGGTAATACGCTGTCCCGGCTGAGATGAGGGTAAAGGGAGGTAATACGCTGTCCCGGCTGAGATGAGGGTAAAGGAAGGTAATACGCTGTCCCGGCTGAGATGAGGGTAAAGGAAGGTAATACGCTGTCCCGGCTGAGATGAGGGTAAAGGAAGGTAATACGCTGTCCCTGTCCCGGCTGAGATGAGGGTAAAGGGAGGTAATACGCTGTCCCGGCTGAGATGAGGGAGGAGGTAATACGCTGTCCCGGCTGAGATGAGGGTACGCTAAGGGAGGTAATACGCTGTCCCGGCTGAGATGAGATGAGGGTAAAGGAAGGTAATACGCTGTCCCGGCTGAGATGAGGGTAAAGGAAGGTAATACGCTGTCCCGGCTGAGATGAGGGTAAAGGGAGGTAATACGCTGTCCCGGCTGAGATGAGGGTAAAGGGAGGTAATACGCCGTCCCGGCTGAGATGAGGGTAAAGGGAGGTAATACGCTGTCCCGGCTGAGATGAGGGTAAAGGGAGGTAATACGCTGTCCCGGCTGAGATGAGGGTAAAGGAAGGTAATACGCTGTCCCGGCTGAGATGAGGGTAAAGGGAGGTAATACGCCGTCCCGGCTGAGATGAGGGTAAAGGAAGGTAATACGCTGTCCCGGCTGAGATGAGGGTAAAGGGAGGTAATACGCTGTCCCGGCTGAGATGAGGGTAAAGGGAGGTAATACGCTGTCCCGGCTGAGATGAGGGTAAAGGAAGGTAATACGCTGTCCCGGCTGAGATGAGGGTAAAGGAAGGTAATACGCTGTCCCGGCTGAGATGAGGGTAAAGGGAGGTAATACGCTGTCCCGGCTGAGATGAGGGTAAAGGAAGGTAATACGCTGTCCCGGCTGAGATGAGGGTAAAGGGAGGTAATACGCTGTCCCGGCTGAGATGAGGGTAAAGGAAGGTAATACGCTGTCCCGGCTGAGATGAGGGTAAAGGGAGGTAATACGCTGTCCCGGCTGAGATGAGGGTAAAGGAAGGTAATACGCTGTCCCGGCTGAGATGAGGGTAAAGGGAGGTAATACGCTGTCCCGGCTGAGATGAGGGTAAAGGGAGGTAATACGCTGTCCCGGCTGAGATGAGGGTAAAGGGAGGTAATACGCTGTCCCGGCTGAGATGAGGGTAAAGGAAGGTAATACGCTGTCCCGGCTGAGATGAGGGTAAAGGAAGGTAATACGCTGTCCCGGCTGAGATGAGGGTAAAGGGAGGTAACCGTCCCGGCTGAGAAGGAAAGGTTCAAACCCCTTTAGGTAAAAAAAAATTATAAATAACAAGCTAAGGTGAAAAAGCCATCAAATAATAATCATAAGTGATTATGGGAGCAAAGGAGGCTTTCTAATGCATCCAGTAATATAGAAAGGTTACTGGGGCTCCAACATGAAGCCCTGCTTGGACTTGTCACCGCGGTCAGGGATCAGACTACAGTGCTGCAGGACCTTAGTCATGATATCCGGGCCTTATGTCAAGCAGGGGCTGAACAAAATGTACCTTCAGCCAGAGGATCCCAACCCCTGTGCAGTAGTTGTTTGAGGGCCAATGCCAAGGTTTGCCACAGAGTTCCCCTGCTTAAATTGCTGGGGAATCAGCAGGGGAACAAGCCTTGGAGGTGCCGATTCTGGAGTAGCCCCCTCAAGAAACCCCACCTGAAGACCAGTATGTCTCCTTCCCCATGGATCTGTCAGGAATGGACTGGCCAGCAATGGTGGGACTCACCTGCCTTTTGATCTGCAGTACCAGGGCTGGCCAGCGGATGCTCCCAGCAATCAGAGACTCAACTTTGCAGCTAGCTAACACCTGGAACTGATTATGCTGGGGTATTTAAGGGATGGCCAGACCCACAGACTCTGCCTTGGTGTTTGGTTGTCCTGGGCCCTGTATCCTGTTTCTGTTCCTTTGCTGACACCCCCGCCTGATCTGAACTGCTGCTGACTTCTCCTGCTCTGATCCTGGCTTGTGACCCTGACCATCCCTCTGCCTGACCCTCTGTACTACGCTGCTTGCTACCTGTTCTGATCCCTGGCTTGTGACCCTGACCATCCCTCTGCCTGACCCTCTGTACTACGCTGCTTGCTACCTGCTGAACCTGGCCTGTGACCCCGACCATTCTCCGCTTGCTCCCCCCTGTACCTACCTGCCCAATTGATATTGACCCGGCCTGCCTGACGACGCTTGCTTGTATGTACTGTTATCTGTGGGGGTTGGTTGGTTGGGTTTGTTTGCACTGTATTATGTTTAGTATTGCCCTGCGCGTTTATGTTTGTATTGTTAGTGTTAATAAATTATATTGTTTATAACTTATCTGAAGTCTGCGTTCCCTGCGTCAGTCACACACCTCTGATCACACCTGGGAGCCCTGACAGGATCCCTCTTCTGCACCTTCCTCACACTCCACTTTGCCCCTTGACCACACCCCCACTTTCACATCCCCTCCCCTTGTTTCTACATGCCCTGTTTCCACCCTTACCTTCCACATCCTGCCCCACTCTCCTCAGCCCTCAAATGCCCCCTCCCCACATACTCCCTCTCAAACCCTTCCCCAGCACTCCCATCCAATCACTCTTTCCCAGCCCCTCCCCACATCCTCCCTGCCTTCCATTCCCACCTTTCCTTCACCCCCACCCGTTCAACCTCTCCCCCAGCACACCTACCCCACCACTCTTTCCCAGCCCCCCCACACACTGTACCCCCCCAACCCTCACACCCACCCCCTCTGCAGCAGCAGCCTCCTCCTCCTCATTCATTTTGTTTGTTTTTTTTGTAATAAACATTATTTGGAAAGTAGCAGAACGTGTCTTTCAAATTGTCAGAAATGCATTTGGGGTAATAAATGGTGGCTTGGTCATGTCGGGAATCCAACACAGGCGCTTTTCTGAGTATGGCTACCAATAATTCCAAATAGCGAACACTAAAAAGCAGCACTTCAGAAAGAAAACTAAAAGGTGACCCTTCCAGAGGCATTGGTGGTTAGACTCTTTGGCCTTTCTGCTGCTTTCACCTGGTGGTCTGTCCTGCAAATAGTTTTAGCTGTTCCCCATCACACAAGTTCTCTGGCACATGTATGTAGCGGTTGGCCATTATCTGCTAACCATTTGGCTGCCCCAAGGGAGCTTAGAATTATCAGTGGACTCTGTGGGCAAGGCTAACGTTCCCCAATATGGGAACACACAATATTGCAGCTTGTGTTCTAAGTGTCGGCTAGCTTTTGTCTTTTTGGGGTGCTGATTTTGGCCAAGACTCCTGCATGGAACACTCACCTCCCCAGAGACTGACACTGCTGTCCAAATATGTTCCCTGTGCTACTTCATTGACACACACTATACAAGAAGTGTGTAATATCCAGGACACCAGGCGTGACACCAGGACACAACTTACACACAGTAAGCCTGCCAAGGAATGCTAGAGACACAGAAAAGTTGGGAGAATAAGAAGAAGGCCTTCTGTTGTTTGGACTATCATTATGCTGGACTAACTGGACCCAGATTAAGTTTGCTTTACACCCCGTGTAACATCTTGCCCCGAGATTGGTTGGGGAGCATAGGATCTTTAGCTGCCTGATTCTAGACGTGTGTGCCTATGGAATTTATGTGCCCAGTGGACACTTGTTCCTCACTTCATTCCCTCCCCACCTCTTGTTGTCAAAACACTGACATGTGAATGAGGAACAAGTTGGATCCAAGTGGTGTGTGTTGAGCAGATAGACAATTTGCCCATTAGGGCCCCTTCTTCTCTGGGGGACATTGCATGTATCTGGTCTCATCCATAACTGATAGTCCTTCCAACAGCAGCTTTCAAGTCATGTGACTTCTGTGTAATGCCAATCCCAACTAGAGATGAGGTGATGGGAGACATCTTGACAGAGTTGGGCCACAGGATCCCCCCCACATTGTCTACTTGGCTGCACCCCCCTTTTGGCAGTCTGCACAACTCCACTCCACCAAGCTATGTAGAGGTCCCTGGATGGAATGAAGATCTACTCCAAACGTGAACAATGTAACGTGAATGGAGTGTTCTGTGTAAACTGTTGCAGCATTTCACAAGAGGAAGCAAAACCAAGATTGGGAGTAGCTGCAGACAGCAAGCAGACAACTTCAATCTTTATGTATCCCAGCTTAGGATTGAAGGAGCTGGTTTACCTCTCGGAAACATGCAATCCTATCTGCTACAGTCCTAAAGCTGGACTTGCCAGAAAACACTTTGTTTGGACATCACCAGAAATTCCAGGTAAGCAAGATTGTCCAGTGCAGCTGGAGCTAGCAGAGTCCTGCAATGCTTTAGGGACATGCAGATCAGCTCCAACTGCAATGAAGAAGATTGCCGACCTGCAAAGGCTGAAGAAGGCCACAACACAGCGCACTGTCCAAGAGAAATAGAACATTTATTACCAACAATCAATAGAAAACTATAAAAACATCATAAAAAAATTGTAACTGAACTAAAATTGCTGCCTGAAATAGGCTCCAAGGCTGGGCTGGTCCTCGTCTGGTTCCACCTCCAGGGCTTGCTCCAGGGCCTGGATCCAGCGGCACATCCAGCCCAGGAGGCCCCGAATGTCTGGATTGGGGAACAATGTAGAAGAAAAAGCCAAACAAAATGTATTATCTGTAATAAAAAAGGAGACAGACTTGCTTCACACAACAACAGCATGCAATGCTTGTCTACCTTTTGTCCATTATCCTGAAAGCACTCTATGCTGTTGTCACCTCATAATTGGAACACAGAACTTACATTTCTTGCCTGGATGATATCATGGCCCAAGGAGTGAGCTTGGAATCCTTAGTCCTAGATTACCCGCTTCCCACCCGCAATGTACTGTGGCCAGACGGCAGCTACAGGCAAAGCAATGTACTTGTACGTCACTCTGGCTGTACTAACACAGGAGGCACACCACACACCCGAGCCGGCACACAGCGCTCCCCTCCCCCGACTGCTGTGTCTGGTGGATACAGCGGAATGAAGATCCCAGTGATTGTGACCCGGTGATCATGTGATCTCTAGGTGATCCCAATGTAAGCAGTTATTATGAATCAATCTCATTCATAACAGCTCTGCGTCTCCTCCTAGTGAGCTGTGATTGGCCCACAGCTGTCACATGATACATGGGGCCAATCACAGCACCCTGTACCATGTGACCAGCTCCAGCCAATCACAGATCACTATCTTGAGCTGTCAAAAATCTAACTCACTGATGACAGTTGATGAAATGAGTTAGGTTCTGACAGCAAGCTTTGCATTGCAGGAGAAATGGCCATTATATCTCCTGCAAAGAAAAGTGTAGAAAAAAATCCCTGATCACCCCCCTCCCCCCACAGTAGTACAATGGTTACTATGGTAACATCCTACTATTCTGATAAAAGTATTTAAAAAAAAAAAGTTAAATACCATATTGAGAATTTAAAAAAAAAATGTTTTTAAGGTTTTTTTATTTACTTTCTTAACTTACTTGCCAACCCACTTACCCGCATTTTGTGGGCGAGCAGCAGCTCTTGGCAAAGTGGCATAATCTGCATCACTTCCTGTTTTGGGGTGTCAATGCGCCTGAGCCCCCCACTGCCCCCCTGGTCAGTCCAGGGAGAGAAGAGAGAACAACGGCACCGAGTAAAAGCACCACTACATTGTACACACACGTTAGATTAGCACATTTAACCCTTTGATGGCCCCGTCACCCAGCCAGTGCCATTAGTACAGTGTCAGTATATAGAATGTTTCACTGATCTCTGTATTCCTGCCACTAGTGACATCACAGTGTCAGGGTCAGTAAGCCAGCCCCTCCCAGCCAGGGTCAGCTGGCGTTAGATTGGCCGCACACTGTCGCACTCACGCTATAGGTCGCTGATCACCGCCATTACTAGTATAGTGTTTGTACGGATCAATATATTGATCATGAACAGAACTATACTAGTGCCGGCTTTGTATAGTGTCCCCAATACTCAGTGTTAGCCGGATCGGCCCGGTCACTGCCAGCACTAGTGTTCAGCCCCTCCACTGTTCTTCAAAGAAGATTTGTACCAATTGTGGGCCAAGGCAATTTTATACACCACAATACATGGCCGCCCCCCAAATTCAGCTCTTGTCACACAATTCACATGGAACTCTATCACCGTTTATGAAATTAAAACTTGTTTGGGCCGAACCCCAACATGGACATTACAGAAAAGAATGAATTGCAGTCATATTGGTCCGCAGAGACCCGATTCATCGTATGTCCGTGTTCTCTGCTGGGTACATAATGTCCAACATGGACCAGCAATGTACTGGAACGTCGCTGGACTTGGAGTGGTTATACCGGGAGGATGCTTGCAGCTACAGGCATCATTCTAGTGCTGGTTTATTAGCTGGGGGTCGGCTCTTTCATGTAAAAGTAATCCTAGTGACCAATTAGCTGCAGAATTGTGTTTATGATCAATTTACATGATTTCGTATAGCAGCAAATCTGATGAGATGAATGAAGTGGGTGTAAAGTGGAAGCAATGGATCTGCAGGGAGCAGCATCTTGAGCACAAAGCACTTTATGTTGTGGATGGATTTGCACACCCCGGTTCAGTTTCCTTCATTTATTGATAAACCCCATAAGACCAATGAAGTGGGTGTAAAGTGGAAGCAGTGGATGTGCAGAGAATAGGATTTGGAGCCCCGAGCTCTTTATCTCTGAATGTCTCCACATATTTGTAGTGTATTGTTGATGATTTCTGTGCACACACAATAGGACAGCGCTGTGACACATAATGCTCTTCTAGATGACAGGGAATCCTTCCCTTTGTTACAGCAGCAGTCCGCTAGAAGGTTTTTGTAGGTTTGGAGTTGTTACTACACATAGCGCGGGTTTTATCCATTTATAGTGATGACATCATTGCCCAAATCTGGGGGTCACCAGCCATTTCCACCCTTTACTCCCAGCTGGGGGGCTTTGTATCCATATACCAGATGTTCTACAGGACTAAATCTGCCATCAATGTTACTGCAAAATCAAAGGGGCCAAAACTATGCCCTCCCCCGAGCAGTCATATATTTCTGTCCCCCTTGGTGGGAGTGGAGGTGACCCCTCTATAAGGATCTACAGTCCATACACACCCAGCACAAGGCCGGGGTCCACACTACCAGACGCTTCTCGGGGCTGCAGTTCCTCTGAGCTCCACAAGGTGGGGATCTCACTTCTACCCAGACAGGAAGTCTCTATGGAAGACAGACAGGAAGTGATGTCAGGTACAGACAGGAAGTGATGTCAGGTACAGGCAAGAAGTGATGTCAGGTACAGACAGGAAGTTCCATGAATGAGAAAGTAGAGAGGAGACATTCCTGGATCTGGCAGCAGAGAAGGTAATACATAGATGAACCCCTTCAGGGGGAGGAGTTAATGATAATAATATTTGCCCCCAAAGCTGGCCTACATGGTTCAGTTTTATCGTTCAGCCAGCGGGATGACCATAAAAACTGAAGTGATTCCCCCATCCGCACATTGGAGGTGGAGGGGGGGAATCCTCCCCGCTGCACTCTTGTATTCTGACAATGGGGGGACTCCTCCGCTCTCAGAATACACAGATCAGCACTGAAGCTATTGGCTGCAGCCGCTGGGGAGTGGCTTTTATCCGGCAGTGGCCACACATGGATGGAAATGTGAGCGATCCCTGCTGAACCAGCTGAATTTCCATGGATCTATGGTCACCTTCAGTGATTTCCTCCCCTCCCCCTCATCTCCTTCATGATGGAAGTCATGCTGAGATCATCTCCCCATTGGCTGAGCAATATTCTCATTTGTCTCTCAGCTCCTTCTTGCTATTCCTCGTCCTGCCTGTTGTTTCCTTGGATTGATTTTCTGTGTAGTGACCCCGGCTTGGTCTCTTGGATGCGCTCGTCTGTTGCTTGCCCTGACCTTTCTCCTGATTCCTGGATCTCCTCCTCATCTCTCCTCCATATCCTCTTACACAGCTTTTCTCCACACCTGCAGTGACCCTGGGGGGTGGAAACATCACACTGACCTGACAAACTCCTCCTCCCAATGTCCCTCCATCCAGAGTCAGAGAATCCTATGACATCACACTGACCTCACAGCTCCTCCTCCCAATGTCCCTTCATCCAGTCAGAAAATCCTATGACATCACACTGACCTCACAGCTCCTCTTTCCAATATCCCTTCATCCAGAGTCAGAGAATCCTATGACATCACACTGACCTCACAGCTCATCCTCCCAATGTCCCTCCATCCAGAGTCAGAGAATCCTATGACATCACACTGACCTCACATCTCCTCCTCCCAATGTCTCTCCATCCAGAGTCAGAGAATCCTATGACATCACACTGACCTCACAGTCCCTCCTCCCAATGTCCCCTCCATCCAGAGTCAGAGAATCCTATGACATCACACAAGACCTCACAGCTCCTCCTCCTAATGTACCTCCATCTGACTTTTTTCTGATGCTCACTTAGGATGTGGGGGCCCCTTGGTATCCTCACATGTAAAGAGGGACTGTTGGTCCTGCGTTGTATGTAATGACATCAGAATGCTGCTTGCAACAAGCCTATACCCTGCGTAGTGTGGGGGGTCCTGTGGGGGGAATTATACCTCAGCCTGAAGTGGGGCTTTAATAAAATGGAGACCTGAATGGAGAGGTGAGGAGGATTCTGTGGAATATCATTTGATGTGACTATTTGTGTTCAGATGTAGAGTTTTCCTCCTGTGTGAAGTCTGGAGATCATATGACATCACATTGCCTCCCACCTCCCTCCCTGATAGAAGAGAGAAAGAAGAAGAAGATTCTAGAAGTCACCAGAGAGATCACTGAGCTGCTGACAGGAGAGGTGAGCGGTGCCGGGAATTCTGGGACATTCTCCAGTAACAGACAAGGGATGTGTCTGGATGGTGACTGTATCATTGTGTGTGTCAGGTTCCTATAAGGGTGTCAGGGTGTCACTGTCTATTTCTCCATGGAGGAGTGGGAGTATTTAGAAGACACAAGGATCTCTACAAGGGACGTCATGATGGACAATCAGCCGACCCCTCACATCACGGGGTAAGAGGAGACTTTATTGTAAAGGAGAGAGCAGTACGGAGGATCCACCTAGATCCCCCATCATCTGATAAACACATAGAAACAATGGATTCAGTCAGTGTGTGTGTTTCCTACAGATGGATCCAGTCATGGGAACCCACCAGAGAGATGTCCCCGTCCTCTGTATTTCCCGGGATTCCACACAGGAAGGTCACACCATCCCTCACCATCATCAGGTAGATGAGGAACAATCACTGATAGTATCATTAGGATCTGTACATTATCTGCATTGTTACCATTGATGGCATTTTTATTATATATTCAGAGTGGAAACCTGAGAGATCCTAAAGTTGAGGTTAAAGAAGAGATAAAAGAGGAGGAGGATGAGGATGGGGGGATGGAGGAGTCAGAGCTTCTAAAAGAACACAAAGATCTGTACCAGGACACCATGGTGGAGTCATCCAGCTACAGGAACCCACCAGAGAGATGTCCCCGTCCTCTGTATTCCCGGGATTCCACACAGGAAGGTCACCATCCATCCCTCCCCATCATCAGGTAGAAGATGATGACAATTATTGGTAGTTGTGATTTATACACAGCATGTTTGTTACAATGAATGTTTTATTATATCTTTCAGAGTGGAATCCTCCGGGGGATGATAATATTGATGTTAAAGAAGAGTATAAAGAGGAGGATGAGGAGTATGGAGTGATGGAGGAGTTTTCAGAAGGACACAAGGATATGATGGAGCCACCTAATACCAGGAACCCACCAGAGAGATGTCCCCGTCCTCTGTATTCCTGGGATTCCACACAGGAAGGTCACACCATCCCTCACCATTACAAGGTTGGTGGGATGGAGCATTCAGAAAATGGACTCATAGAAGTGATTTTTTAATGTGATGCCACAATATTGGAGTTTATGTTTTACAGATGAGCTCTTCTATTATTATTTTGTTTTAGGTTGAAGATCTGATAGATATAAAAGTTGAGGTGCAATCAGAAAAGAAGAGGCGTATGTGAGGGGATGATCAGCAGTCTATGGAGGAGGATGGAATAACGGGGACATTTATAGAGGAGGACACTCCTACAGAGATCAGCACAGGTGGGTCATGAACACTAAATCCATTCCTCCACCCATACTGCTCACTGATTGGTCCAGAGTAGGGCGGGGACTGGGTGATATCAGCCTGTAATCCCCTGGTCACTTTCCTGAGCTGTGTTCCCCGTCCTGTATTCCTGGATTTCTCTCGGATAATCTTCCTTCTCTGTGCTGCAGACACAATTTATGTATCTAGACTGGATTTATGGAGGTTCTGGGGCTCAGCTGGCAGCAAAATGTTCATTTTCAATATAAGTGTTACTAGACCTAGGCACCTGGGGTGTGTGATTTGGATATTCTTCCCCATGGCCGGATCTAGTAAGATCTCTGACAGAACAATTCTCCCAGGGTTCCTTGCTCTGTGGTCTGCTGGCTGTGCCGGGTGGAGGGATATGTCTGTAGTGTCTCAGACCCAAGTCACTGAGTGCAGTCTCAGGAGATGGGAGGCAGCGGTGTGGGATCTCTGCAACTTGTCTACAGTAAACATTTAATCTTCCACTGATTACCCTGAATACATTACATTCCTGACCCCTGCACTATATAAACATATGTTGTACATTACATACTCCTGACCCCTGCACTATATACTCTATGTTGTACATTACATACTCCTGACCCCTGCACTATATACTCTATGTTGTACATTACATACTCCTGACCCCTGCACTATATACTCTATGTTGTACATTACATACTCCTGACCCCTGCACTATATACTCTATGTTGTACATTACATACTCCTGACCCCTGCACTATATACTCTATGTTGTAATTACATACTCTGACCCCTGCACTATATACTCTATGTTGTACATTCCATAGTCCTGACTTCTGCTCTCCCCCCCTCCCCCCACTGCTATATATACACATAATATGGATTCTCTTTTGTTCCCCCCATTTCCTCCCAGCTGGACATTTTATATCGGATGATGTGATTGGAGCACAGACTTTTACATGGTGATAATAATGTGATAACATCCTCCAACTTTGGACCCTTAAACAGAAAGTGATAATGAGGGAGGAGTCAATACCCCAATGATGGTGGTCTTCAGGATCAGTCCAGTCTTCATCTTGGTTGTTTCTCCCCCATCCTCACTCTCTGACCTCTGGTGGGGCTCAGCCCCGCTGTTCTTCATGACTAAATCATGGACTAAATAAGGGAAGTGCAGTACTTCTTGTGTTGGGAAGATGGTGATGAGTGTGATAGAGGGGGTGGGGACCCTCGTCCTATAATCCCCCCATCACTGTCCCTCCTATAAAAGACAGTTCAGGTTGTTTCCTCACTCTCTGACTAAGGTCCATGAATAAAGAAATGACCTGGTAGGAGATCAGAGGAGCCATTTCCTAGTTCCCTTGTGTGACGGAAGTGTAGGCAGGACACAACACACACGGAGGATGATAAACACACAAAGCTGTATTGAACTATGGGAGGCACTCAATCAGGGTAGGAAGGTAGCGTCTGGGTACCCAAAAGGGGAAGAGAGGGGAGGAGCCCAAAACAATTGTAATCCGTCCCACACGATAGGGCAATTTGGGTATCAATGGCCTGAGCAAGTATTAATCCAAGCAGGCAGTTCCGGCAAAGGTAATAGGGAGGTTCAATGGGGCAGTCCAGGTAGGTTCAATGGGGCAGTCCAGGTTTGAAGGTCTGAGTGTTCAATGGGGCAATCCAGGTAGGAAAGGTCTGAGTGTTCAATGGGGCAGTCCAGGTAGGAAAGGTATGAGTGTTCAATGGGGCAGTCCAGGTAGGAAAGGTATGAGTGTTCAATCCAGGGAAAGGTATGAGTGTTCAATGGTCAGTCCAGGTAGGAAAGGTATGAGTGTTCAATGGGGCAATCCAGGTAGGAAAGGAGGGAAATGTTCAATGGGGCAGTCCAAGTAGGAAAAATGAGTGTTCAATGGGGCATCCAGGTAGGAAAGGTCTGAGTGTTCAATGGGGCAGTCCAGGTAGGAAAGGTCTGGTGTTCAATGGGGGGACCAGACATGGACAAGAGGGAAACTCAACGGCAGTCCAAGCAGGGAAAATAGGGGCATTCAATGGGCCAGTCCAGTTCAAGGTAATAGGGGGATTCATGGACAGTCCAGGCAGGGAAAATAGGGAGACCCATGGGGGGGGGCACACAGCGAACACACTCACAGGCAGGAGTACCTCATGGCACACAGCGAACAGCAGGCAGGAGTATAGCACACAGTGGATAGCAGGCAGTCATGAGCACTCGATAGCAGGCAGGAGTACATTGGCACACAGCGGATAGCAGGCGGGAGTACTCGTTGGCACACAGCGGATAGCAGGCGGGAGTACTCGTTGGCACACAGCGGATAGCAGGCAGGAGTACTCGTTGGCACACAGCGGATAGCAGGCAGGAGTATTCATTGGCACACAGCGGATAGCAGGCAGGAGTACTCGTTGGCACACAGCGGATAGCAGGCAGGAGTACTCATTGGCACACAGCGGATAGCAGGCAGGAGTACTCGTTGGCACACAGCGGATAGCAGGCAGGAGTACTCGTTGGCACACAGCGGATAGCGTTGGCAGGAGTACTCGTTGGCACACAGCGGATAGCAGGCAGGAGTACATTGGCACACAGAGCGGATAGCAGGCAGGAGTACTCGTTGGCACACAGCGGATAGCAGGCAGGAGTATAAGCTCGTTGGCACACAGCGGATAGCAGGCAGGAGTACTCATTGGCACACAGCGGATAGCAGGCAGGAGTACTCTCGTTGGCACACAGCGGATAGCAGGCAGGAGTACTCATTGGCACAGAGCGGATAGCAGCAGGAGTACTCGTTGGCACACAGCGGATAGCAGGCAGGAGTACTCGTTGGCACACAATGGATAGTAAGCAGGAGTACTCGTTGGCACACAGCGGATAGCAGCGGATAGCAGGCAGGAGTACTCGTTGGCACACAGCGGATAGCAGGCAGGAGTACTCGTTGGCACACAGCGGATAGCAGGCAGGAGTACTCGTTGGCACACAGCGGATAGCAGGCAGGAGTACTCGTTGGCACACAGCGGATAGCAGGCAGGCGTTGGGCGGATAGCACTACTCATTGGCACAGAGCGGATAGCAGGCAGGAGTACTCGTTGGCACACAGGATACAGAGTACTCATTGGGACAGCGGATAGCAGGAGTACTCATTGGCACACTCGATAGCAGGCAGGGTACTCGTTGGCACACAGCGGATAGCAGGTAGGAGTACTCGTTGGCACAGAGCGGATAGCAGGTAGGAGTACTCGTTGGCACACAATGGATAGCGGACTCGTTAGCAGGCAGGGGAGTACTCATTGGCACACAGATGGATAGAAGGGAGTACTCGCTGGCACAGAGCGGATAGCAGGTAGGAGTACTCGTTGGCACAGAGCGGATAGCAGGCAGGAGTACTCGTTGGCACACAGCGGATAGCAGGCAGGAGTACTCATTGGCACACAGCGGATAGCGGCAAAGCATGTAGGAGTACTCGTTGGCACACAATGGATAGCAGGTAGGAGTACTCGTTAGCACACAATGGATAGCAGGCAGGAGTACTCGTTGGCACACAATGGATAGCAGGCAGGAGTATTACTCTTTGGTACACAGCAGACAGCAGGCACCTCTAGCCCCCAGGGATCAGTAAAGTACTCAGCAGGGTCTGGCTGTGGGGGTCTGGCCTCAGCTCAGACCTTCCAACAGCTACTCACGGTGATGTGCAGGGGACCAACAACCTCCCGGGTCCCGCTCTGGTCCTCTTATGCCGGAGCAGGATGCTTCCTGGTTGCCCTGGCAATGGCCGGTCCAGTGTCGGGTTGTCGGGGCAATGAGGCACGCCCCCCTCACTCTGGCCACGCTCAGGGAGCGCGCCCTTTGTCTCTGGCAGGCGCAGAGCATGGGAAGCCTCGTTCCCATGTTGCGCCCACCGGGGAGGGGGGGGGGGTTCAGAGACACCCGGAGGCCCGTGCTATGCGGGTCCAGTGGGGTACCTGACTCCTCGGCAGCTTCGCTGAGGAGAGGTGCTACCCGCACCACAGGGGGCATTTTTTCCTTGTGCAGGATGTGAGAATCTGCAAGGGGAAGGGAGGGAGGAGGATCAAAGGAGAGTGAGGGGGGAGCTGCTGCAGGCCACCTGAACTGAGGGGAGGGGGAGGAAGGGACAGCAGGCGAGGGGGCGACCGTGACACCTTGAGGGTGGAATTGTAAACTCCTCAGAGACCAAGCTGCCTGATGTGGGCGGAGTCCTGGTTTGGGGGAACCAATCAGCTCCTGTCTAGTAATCCTCTTTGTCTTTGTATTTTAGTCCATGGCCGGGAGATGAGGAAAACCTCGGAGGATTGTCTCACTTTGTCTCCAGACTGGAAAGTAAAGATGAGGACATCACACAGTATAGTCCAGGAGAAAACCGGCTCCCTCCAATGTCCATCCGGCACCAACCCAGTGTAGATGGACCATCGGATTTCCTCGTATCCTGAGGAACCTCAGACTGTGCCGGGACCGGGCCGGCCTTCCAATAGGGAAGAGATTCTCCTGTCCTGAGTGCGGGAAGGGTTTCCATTGTAAATCATGGTGTCTTAATGTGCATAAAAAGATCTCACACAGGGAGAAACCTTATTCCTGTACTGAGTGCGGGAAATGTTTTTCTGTGACAGTCCAGTCTTTACAGACATCAGAGATCTCACACGGGAGAGAAGCCATATTTCCTGTCCTGATGTGGGAAATGTTTTTCAGAAAAAAAAGTCACATTTTTACAGACATCAAAGGTCTCACTACGGGGAGAAAAGCCATATTCCTGTCTTGAGTGCAGGAAATGTTTTAAAAAATCAGCAATTGGAATGCGCTAAAATATATCAAAATTTAATATCACAAAATATGTGTATAAAAGTCCCAACATTATAAATACAAAAAAACTTTTCAGTGAAAATAATCCATAAATTTCGTGCATATAAGTGTATAGAAGAAATGTCCAACACCCCAAAACAGAAAAAATTTTCTTCTTTAAACATGTAATTCCACCGTGCTTTATCCACCACCAAATGAATGGAATAAACTCACCAGAGCTCAATGCTGATTAGATTATAAATCAGCACAAGCGCGTTTGCTCTTGGTAGCGATGAATAAGTAGATCATGAAGCAGCACTCTATAGTATAGACACTTCCAGATAGCAGGAACAATACTCTGCAGTGATATTGAGGTATAGCCAAGACTCCTTATAAAACGATCATCCTCCAAATGTATAGTAACATCACTCAAAAATAAAGAAAAGGCATGATGGTGCAGCAAGTAAGAACCATTAAAACTTTTATTTCAATCGCATCCTACTCACAAAATAAAGTGTCCACCTGACACTGGTATAGCAAACGATCAGATATACGGGATGGACGAGCCCCGTTCACCGCGGACACCTCGCCGACAGCTCCAGAGGAACGTCCTGACCGTCATCCCCAATAAGCTCCGCCCTACGCGTTTCGTCACTCTGACGTCCTCACGGAGCGGCATGGATCAAGACGTCAATGCAACCTACTATCTATACCGCTTGCACTCTGCATGATAGTGCTTTTCAACCAATAGCGGCAATAAAAACAACACACCGCTTGCACTTACGCATAGCCGGCGCTTCTCTGACCAATAACAGTGGCGGTTGTACTAACCCACCACCACTCGTTTGGCGAGGTTACCATGATATAACAGTATCAATTTAGGACATATATCTTTTCCTTTATAATTATTTTACAAACATCATACATGAGTAAATTATAATTCAAGTAAACACAATTATTAAAAAGCATATTATAAAAACATTTGCAAAATAAAATTTTAAATTTAAACTTATTATAGATAGGTTTGTTGATAAAGGCTATGATAAATCCTTTTTGGAGACTTGAAAGAAAAATAATTGAGAACAGAGATAGAGATATACTTTTGAATGGGCAGAATATTAAGGAAAATAAAGGGAGATATTGCCTTTATCTCTGATTTCAATGACCAATATAGGGATATTGAGAAGATTTTTAGAAAATACTGGCCTATACTGCTTAAAGATGGAGACGTTTGAATGAAATTATTACCACATAAACCAAGTTTCATCTATAGAAAAATAAATCACTGCAGAATGAAATTGTCCACAAATGTTTTAGATCCACCTAAAGAAAAAAGTTTTTTTTCCTGAATTACAAGGCTTTATTATTTGTAACAAATGTAAGGCATGTAAAACAGTACATAAACGGTTCAAAGAAAAAAATAAAGAGTTTTGCTTTCAATACCATACAAATAAGGAATATTAAGATCAATTCATTGATTTCATGCAATTCGATCCCATGTGATCTATGTTCTGAATTAGTGCCCATGTCGGTTAACAGTACGTAGGGAGAACAGGAAAGACTATTAAAAACTAGGATTGGAGAAACATCTTTAATAATATAAGAAATGGGATTATGATAAGCATAGTGTATCCAGGGGCACTTTAAGATGAAAACATGATAGTGACCCTTAGTATTAGTTACCTTTTATGGAATAGAGAAGGTTAACATGAAACATTGGAGGGGACTAGACTTGATTAATGCAATATCCAAAAAGGTAAACATTATTGGATACATAATTTAGATGTAATTAAAACCTAATGTTGTTTAAACATAGATATAGATCTAAACTGCTTCCACTTACAAATTTTTGATATAAAGTTGAGAGAGGTGTGTATATAGAATTTAAATTACCGTCTTGAGCGTTAATATAATCTGTATATGTTATATTGATGAATCATAGGGATGGCATATGGTCTAGGAGTATGAATTTTGTCAAACTTATGGTAAAGTCAAATTAATGGATGACGAAAGTGTTCTCCCTTTTACATCAGTTATCATTAGTAGTGAGGCCTATTTCTTCTTTAATTTTGACTTCTTAGTCTTTTGGTATAGAATATATTATATTTATATAAAAACTTACTTAATGAATTGATTATTTATTATAGCCCCTGATTGGTCAGGAAGCGCCCTTTGCGATGCAAGCAGTGTGTTGTTGGGTTTTCCGCTTTGGTTAAAAACACTATCATGCAAGTGCAAGGGTTTTTATAGGTTCATTGATTTTTGATCCATGCCGCTCCCTGGGACGTCGGTGACGAAAGGAGGGGGAGCTTATTGGGGGGAGTTTAGGGTTCCCCTGGAGCTGTCGGGAGGTGTCCGCAGTGAACGGGGTCGTCCAAACCCGATATCTGATCGTTTTTAACCAGGTCAGGTGGACATTATTTTGTGAGTGGATGCGATTGAAAAAAAAAGTTTTAAAGTTTTACTTGCTGCACCATCATGCCTTTTTTTTTTTTTGTGATGTTACTATACATTTGGAGGGTGATCGTTTTTTTAAAGGGGTCTTGGCTAACCTTTTA